TATTACCCCAGCAGCTAAACATATAATGTCTTAAAAAGCACTATCCAAATGGAAAGTTTGTGAAACAGCAATGATTGGTCTGTATTTGATTGCATGATTTTATTGAGGTCAGTGAATTTGACATCACTGAAGTAAAATAACTTTTCATTATGCTATAGGTTTGCATCACTTTCTTGTAGCCAAATGCACTGTTTTATTATGTATAACACTGATGCCTGACTCTCTCTTGCTTTCTAACTGTCCTGCCAACGGGAGAGCTAAGTGCGTTATAGTGCATGGCATAGTGTAGGAAATACAGCACAAGCTTAGGCTGCAAGAGCAGAGTGGTTGTGATGAGAGTTTATTTTTCCTTCCACTATATGTAATTTTTTTTCTGTACCAGTACCTAACCAGCACTTGTCATCAGAATGTTTCTAAGCAATTTCTGTGCCTTAGGAAATTGGGCTAGAAACTTCTGAACTTTTCAAAATGTGAATAAAACTCTTAAAGGACAAAACATTGATTGATTTGAAGTTGAAATTTCATTTTTTTAATGAGTTGAATTTGTCCAGCAGTTGTTAGGGCTAACAAATCTTGTTCTGCATACCAGTGTTCTAAATTAATAAAACACTAACTCTTTAACTGGAAAAGTATTGATTGTTCTGTGTCTGACATCTAACCTTAAATTTGGAATCAGCTGTATTCTAATGAAGCTATTTTCTGACAAAATACATTCAAACAAATACATGATATTGCTGCAGATACTCGGGAAAAATTACCTTGGGAGAGTCATAGCTTCTCAATACAACCAGTAGTTGAATTGAGCAGCTATTATATTTGCAACTTTCAACTCCTGTCAGTAGGAGCAGGAAGGAACTGAAAAATGCCGACTTCCTGCCTTGCTGTGTGTGTAGGATGTACTGCAGGAGAGCCACGAAAGAGCTCGGTCAGTCGGTTCTTGCACTTGATTAGATTTATGTCATTAATGCAGTGCTCACAGGAACGGATTAGTTTTGCCTCAAGTGGTCTGATAGCAACCCTGACCATTTGGACAAACTTAAATTTATTGCAAAGTTGTAGTAACATAAAATATGCTCTCTGACCTGAAAAGTATACTTGATGAAAGCCATGATCTCTGTTAGTTGTAAGCCCACCACTGTGCTTAACAAAAATGCCTTCTCCACTTCTTTTGGGGGCTTTATAAAGTTAAAATGTGACTTGTTTCAACTCAAGGCTATAGTCTTAATGAATGTGACTCATACATTGGTAATTCTGCATGTAAATTTAAGATTGTCCTGAATCCAGTCATGCTGAAACTAAATTACCAGTTAAAGATGGTTAAATGGCTGGTTGTCTAAAGTAGTACCTTGAATGGGCAAGCTAATCTTTGGTTGTCTCTGATCCCAGTGCTTTGAGAGTTTTGTATTTTTGTATTTCTTTGTCTTTATAATTTTTGACAATAGTTGGTATTAGGAGCCGCTGAATCCAGCAGTGTGAGGCTGCTACAGCTTTGTGTTCCCAGCAGTCACACTTGTCCGCAGTACATACACACATATGTATATTGATATGGTTGGCCACAGAGTTCAACCCAGAAAATAGAGTACTTGGGCAGCTGCAAACACCACAGGCAGCCTGATCCTGTTCCTCTACCTGGCTGATCAAGATAAAGCCTGTTAGTAAAAGTGTATACAATGTAGATACCCTTAGTAACTGGCTTTCACTCAGTCTATCCAATACATAGTCTCTAGATCAACCGGTCTCCCAGGGTGCTGGCCCCTGTGTGTACAAACTTGCAAGATTTGGGGCCCAACTCCCTCTGGGGTGTTGGGCCTGCTTGGACATACAGACTCGTTGTAGATCTCCTATAGCTGCCACTAGACTCTTTCCAGTCACTGGCCACAGGGTAGCTTCATCGGCCAAGTGCTTCTTGTACGTGCAGGTAAGACTCTTTGATAGCTGGTCAGACCTAAGGTATTTAGTAGGTCTGACCAGCTATCAAAGAGTCTTTATTCAGCTCTCAAATACCAGTCTGTCACTCGTAGCTGGTTTGCACCCCCTGAGCTCTCTGGTAGCCAACTCTCAGCCCTCCAGTCAGTCTCATAGTTGGTTTGGACCTCCTGAATCTTCCCAGGACTTCTGATCTCTGCAGGGTCTGGTCTAGACTTACAGCCTGTCTGATACTTGGTTCTGAAGCCTTTTGTCCTACTTGCTGGTTAGTCTGGTTTGGTATTTGCTAGTGTCAACTATAGGCCCGTATACATTATGAATATGGTCAGGTCTCTCCATTGCTGGCCCTGCAGGCTCATGGGCCCATATCATCCATGGCCCCGTTTCCAGATGGTGGCACTTGTGCCTCCATACATACCTGTGCCTACAGAGCACTCCTTCACTCAGGAATTTAAAAATGAGTTTAATGAGGAGACCATGCAGAGGAGGCTTATTGTACCGACCAGCTACTTTCATATGCGACCACGTCTTTTTATCCCTTTTTCCTCTAATTTTCTTATGCTTGTTTGTGCCCAGTTCACCTTGGCCCTTCCCCTAGACATCCTTACTGTCATCCTTCCCCAAACCCCTTTAAGTTTCGTGTGGTCTTAAAATACTCTTCGCCCTAGACCCATAATGAGCCGTGCACACCCTGTCAGCCTCTCCTATTGACTCACCTGGGTGGATTGCTCTCCCGTGGGAGGGCTGCGAGGAACCTGGTCGCTGGGTGCCACAGGCCCTGATTAGGGTGCTGGATACCTTCCACCTGCCACCCTTCCTTTCTTTTGTGTTTATGGAAATCAACCTTTAATCACATACCTAATATTAAGGAACAAAATACACGCCCTAGTGCTGAAGGTGACGATTCCTGCCTGGCCAGTGAACTTTTCAGCAACTGCCCTGCCTGTTTTGGTGAAGAGAGAATGCATCACACGGGCTTTGTAAATCGCTTGTGACATTATGTCTTCTAAAGATTTTTCTCCGGTTTATCCTAGTAGCTTTCAAGTAAAAAGAAATCTCAATGAATGACTTTTAGAGTTATATTATTGTGAATAACAGTAAGAAAATAGCATCTGTTGATTCCAGTCTCTTATTCCTTTCTGTAAGAAAGCCTTATGGAAAGCTGTAGCATACGCTCAATTGACAGAGACTTTGATTTGCAGGAAAAAGTCTTAGTCCAGCATTAGGTAAATTACCTGCTAGTGTTATACAGGTGTATCTTAACACAGTAGCAGTTTTTGTTTGAAACAAAGGGGATTTATGATCCAAATCCAAGGTTGACAACACTGCCATATTGCTAAATGGGATATGGGAAAGTGGAAAAAAGCTGAGAAATCATTTATTTCAGCATTAATTTGAACTTGCCTGCTCACCAGACTAGTTTGAATAAGATAGTAGCTTAAGGCAGCTAAGAAAAATACAGCTGTCATGAGAGCTGGAAGCGGGAACTCTATGTGATAAATAATCTTCCAAAGTAGAAGATGCTTTTTGAGACACAGCTATTAATTTGCCCCAAAACTAATGAGAGATGATTACTTCGAAAAGGTACACAATGGAGGTTGAAAGATTATTCTTCAGATAATCTTCAGTGGAAGTTTTTCATGTGCCTTGAGATTCTTCAGAAACTTCAAAAGCCAAAAAAATTTAATGTAAGAAAGATTCTGGCAGAGAGAACTAATGGTTTATGCCATTCATTTTTCCCAGAGAGATGCAAATATAGCAATCAAAATTCACTTTACCTTTTTCACTAAATGGATATTTATTTGTAGAGATTATTTTGTAGATTACAGATAGAAAGATAGAAATATCTCAAAAATACTTTTGTTTACGTGTGTATCTACAGCATATGTATGTTCCATATGGTATCTACCAGAGGACTGCACCCTCCCAACACTTAATGTTGTTTTCTGAAATGTCTTGTGTTCTTATTAGGTCATTTATCTCAAGTGTTGGTCTAAGAAAAGAAGAAATTATACAGTTTACCATTTCTGATCCTAATTAATCTGTGAAATTAGCTTTTATAAATTTCAGCTGACATTACCAAGATGGTGCTGATTGATTTCAAACAGTAGAACTAGCTTCCAATACAGTTTTCTGTGCTGTCCTTGCATATCCTCTTACTGAAATTCTGTGTTTTTCCTTCTTGCCCCTATCTTCCATTTACAGATACAAACCTTCAAAGGAGGGTTAACACCATTGGCGCTCTAGGAAGTCACTCAAGAGTATACCCCTTGCTTTGAATTAATTCACTTCCTCATTTAAGATTTTAAATCTTGATATTTATTTCCTCACCAGAGCCCTTGAATATGCACTTCTGTTGCTCTTTAAAATATTTCCTCTATTACTGCAGCATAAAATTTTGTGGTGGACCGGTAAAACCTGCTTTTCCAGTTGTTAGTGTAGCACAAATCAAAGAGATCATTAGTCTTGTCATTATGGAGGAGGAAGACTCACCAGAAGTGATTATTTCTGTATTGCATTTTGTTATGAAATAGTGGAATTCCTTTTCCTTAAAAAATATTTCTGCGGGTTTGTATGGAATAAAGATTTGTGGCTGAAAAGGGACTGCATTTAAATGGACAGTGTTTCTTTGAAAATGAAATTTGCCCACCTCTGAAATTGACATAGGTATTGCAAAGGTGAGAGCAAAAAAGTATCACCTGCCCTTTCATTACCTATGGGCTCACACTAAGGAGAGAGCCTAAAATGACCTTGTAAAAATTCCAGCCACTTTTTTTTTTTTTTCTGAAAATATACAGGATGGGGAGGAAAGGTTAAAGTCAGGTTGGGAACCATTATTTCCTTAGAATAATTCCTTCTAGTTGACACCTAATACTTCCTCTTTTGTGTATAGCTTCAACTAATTTATCATTGTGTTAATAAATAGCTAATTATTCAGTATAGGTAGTCTTCTGCCAGGTAATTAACTATTTCAGTTATGTTTAAACTAGAAAATAATCCTTTTAATTTTGCCATAAAGCTAGTAACATTTATATAGGTTATTTCTGTCTTATCCTGTTAGGTGTAAGAATTTGTCTGTATCTTTCTGGAATTCCTATTGGATGCTGCCCTCTGATGTTTGTGGAATGAACTGCTTTTGGGAAGCTGCTTTTAGGTAGGCTCTGCCATTAAACAGCTCTTTATTATTCAATTGCAGACAGGTGCAGCTCATAAGTAATTTGGGCTATTTAGCAAGCTGACAAAATAAAATACATTGATTGTGTCACATGTGTTATTTTGTGCTTATCCTCAGTCAAATTTTTAACATGTTAGTCTCAAAGTCTTGTTACAAAGAATAGATTTATTCTAGTCTATTATTTCCTTAAGTAGACATTTCCAAACGTTGCTAAAAAGCTGTCTGACTATAACAAAAAGTTATGGATGAGTTACCATTTTTGACAGATAAAACTTTTTGCAAAGTAACACCTGTGACAACTTAAAATCTGGCAGGTATGCTTAGTAGTTAATTTCTTTTATTTAATTGAAGATTCTTTATTTTATAGGATTTCGTGAAAGTATTGCATCCCAAAGTGCTGAAACAACTGTTTTCAAACGTGCTTTAAGAATGAACGTCATTTAAGAATGAATATATAACATGTCCTTAAAGATGCATCTTTAACAATAAATTTAAGTGTGTTCATGCAGTTGTCCATACGCATTAAGTTGTTCAGGTTATGAAAGCAGTGTGTCAGAAAAGCAAGAAGGTTTAAACTATATATATTCCATAAACAGTACAGTCTGTAATCTGTCTGTATTAAACTATGCCATGATACCTTGTAGAAGAATTTAACAGTGGGTATATATTCAACGCAGAAATGCTCCAGGGCCTGGCTTGCACCATGTTCTAAAGTATGTATTTTGGCTCACATCGTGTCAAAGGGAACGTTTTTTAATATGTTTCCTAAACTGGTGGGACTATCGTATATGTCCTCAGGCACTCATCTCTCCAAATCCTGTCATGGCTGCTCGGTATTGGGCTAGAGGTGCATTTTTGCTTTCGCTCTTCCTTTTAGTTACCATTTTAGTTTAGTTACAGAGTGTGTGGTTTTTTTTTTTTTTTCCCCCCAGGAAACTGCAGGTTCCACTTTAATTATCAGAGACTTTTTTCCTTTTGAAATTAGGAGTCCCACTTTTTTCTTACTCGCCCATCAAAATGCGTGGTTTATATTTCATTCTGTTGGTTCACTTTACAACTTCTGCACTAAGTTCTTCTGGACTAATACATCAGACTGCTAGGAAATAGAAATGTGCATATAAAATCTGCATTTATATTTTAAATCTTTTCCTGTTGCCTTTGGATGCCTTTTTTTAGTTATCTCCCAAAATACTAGGGAATAAAAAAAAAAAGTTGGAAAAAACAGCTGTGGTGGAGAGTGATGGAGAGAAGGGAGAGGAAGACCCTGGAGTCAGGAGTAGAGAAAGAAGCAGTTGAGGATAGATAATTTTGAAGGGAAATCAGGGAGTCCTCCATAGTTAGAAGAGGGGAATGAGGCCGGAGTCATGGCACAGACACCAGGGTTTGGTGCTGGGGCACGTGAATTGCAAAGGTGAGAGAGCAAAGTCAAGATACCAAACTCTGCGCAGCACTGCTAGCAGCGGGAGGAGGAAGGAGGGGTGAAATGGGGGTGGTGGAAGCTTCACCAGGAGTTCTGAGTAGTGACCTCCTGGATGGATGTGGGACAGTGATTTCCAGATGGGAACAGAGAAGAGAGAGGAGCAGTAGTGAGTAGTGTGATAATTGGTGCTCTGTGTGCAGGGAAGTCAGATGTAACTTAAAATCACTAAAGAATATTTCTTCACACAACCTGAAATGAAGCCCTGCAGTGCTGGAATCTCCCTGCTGCCTTAAGCTTCAGAGGCCTCGTGTCTCATCCTTTTCTTAGTAGGTGGTTCCCATAGAGAATTGTTGCCTTTGCTTTTTAAGGGCTTCCTGTTCCATCTGTTCCAGGGATAAAGTTTTCTACTGTGGGTTTAGGGATCTGAGTCTCGCTATTTCCCCAAGTTCTCAAAATGGAAATACAATTTGGTTTATTAGTTTTTTTTTTTTCCTGCAATTTCTTACCTTTCGAAAAGGTGTTTGTTTAAGTGCAAGTAAAAATTGTGAATTCACAACATCCGTGAACTCAAGGAACAGAAATTGCATGCGCACAAAGTGACTGTAAAGGCATTAAAATATGATCAGATTCTTTTTGGTATTTTGGCTAGAAATCTTTTGTTTGCAGATGTCACTGGTTATTAAAAAAAAAAAAAAAAGATTGGATAAAATCCAGTCTTTTCTTTGACTTTGTTGTGTTTTACAGTTATTCTGGCATTTTTTTTTTTTATCATACCTTATTCATGGAAAGCCGCATATTCAGGAACTTGTCTTTCAGCGATGCGTTTTGTATAGGTTGTGCCCTTCTTTATCACAGGAGCTTGCAATATCACTGTAGGCCCTCATGACCTCAGGGCTTAATTACTATAATTCCCTTTTCAGTGGATTAGTGAGGAAGCTAATCTGCTGCTTGCAGCCTGCTCAGAATGCAGCAGGGTAGTCATCTGTGGGTCTCAGCTGCTGCATTCAGGTTGCTTTGCTACCTTATATCAGCTACCTGCTTCATGGCATTATGTATAAAGGTCTGAATGGCATGCCTCGTTATGCTTTTTTTAAAAAAATTATTAACTATTTTTCTTATTTTGCTGCAGTATTTCTAGTAGGATTCATCCCATGGAGTAAATCATCTGAAGATAGATGAGTGGCAGTGCCAAGCAGCTCTGAAACTGTCATTATAATGGAAAGCGTAGAGAGTGGTCTAGGTGACCGGCCATTAAGTTACCGAAATATAAGTGGCTTGTGCATTTGAGAAGCATTAGGGTACCCTAAACATGTATACAGGACTGTTAGATAAGATCTTTGAGAAACCGTTCTCTTTTTAGACTGGCATCTGGAGGTCAGGTAGGATAGTCTAGGGCTTATTAAATAGCACTGTGTCCATATACATGAATTGAATCAAGCCCTAGGTGTTTACTTTGAAGTAGGATGGATTGCTGTTTAGACTCTATTACCTATTCCCTGGATTTCCACTGGCCAGGACACAATCTCATATCAGCACCTTCTTAGGTGTCTTGATCTGAATCCTACCTGAGAGGTCTTTCTGCCATGTGGAGGTGGTTAATGCCTCAAAATTTTATGGATTTCTTTTTTGTTGTTCCTTTAACAAAAATACATACAAAACACATAGTTTCCTTTGTCGTTTTAAAGGAAAATTTGTATCCAGCTTTATTTTTAAACGTGTTTTAACAACAATAATAAATTTGGTAGAGATGATGTACTAGAAATCAAGCTTGTTTTTGTTTTGAAGTATACTTCTTTTGGGGCAAGTTTCTAAGAATGGATAGTATGTTTGCCGAGTGTTTATTGTTATCAGCTTAGGGAAAGGCTTCTCTAACTTCAGAGAATTTTATATCTGTGTGACTTGGAAGGCTGTAATTTAATGTTTTCAGATACTAATAGCCTCCTCCCTTTAGTCACATGCAAATAGCTCAAGTGTAGAAAGTGAGAAATACTCAACTGCTTTAAAAGTTGACTTGGTGCTGATCTCTGTTTAATACATTTTCTGATGACATAAATGTCTGTGTTTGACATGTCTAGTTTCTGTACAGATCTTCCCTCAATTTTTTTGTGCCTCATGGACCACAGTGGTGTGTGGTGTGGAAAAAGCTTAAACTTAAGCCTACAGATGAGATGTAATGCTGCAGTTTTGTGTCCTGTGTTCCTTTGCTGATTTAATTAAGATAAAGGATATTTTGTTAGATTATGTGCTTCAGTAAATAGAGCTTTTGTTTAAACCTGTGCTAGGAAAAATACCAATTGAAAAAATATTTTTGTGTTAGATACAATCATATGAAAACACATCCCTCTGAGAAAATGCATCTAGCCGTGGTTGCCTGTGGTGAAAGACTGGAAGAGACTGTTACTATGTTGAGATCAGCCATTATTTTCAGCATCAAACCACTCCAGTTTCATATTTTTGCTGAGGACCAGTTGCACAAGAGATTCAGAGACGTAGTAAGTACCCAAATCAGCTAATTGTAGCTAATTGATTTGTAGTAAAGCTGGAGAAATATATAATAATGTTTCTGCTAATGTGGGTGATAGTGGTAAAAACACAGAGGTCTAATAAGTTAATACGCAGATCTTTTGCAGCACGGGGTGGGCGTATTTAACATTATTTTCCTAACCTTCCGGATTTATCACCTTGCATCTTTTATTAAAAACTTCATGTTCAGAACAGAAACCAATTATCTTATTGAGAAGGTAATTGAGAATTAACTTTTGTTCTTGAGAATTATCTTAGGTTTAAAACTAGTTTTTGAGAGAAAATAAAATCTATCCTTTTATATCCATGTGCTTACAGTATGAGTCAGCCTTGTATTGTCTAAGCAACAGGAAACATCCATCCCTGAAGAGGGTAAATGTGATTATATCTTATTTTAGCAACTTTCAGTTAATCACTATAACAGTACGACCAGAGTGACATTATTAGAAATATACCCATCTGTGAAGGGTTTTCCTGTCTTTGCACCTGAATTAGCATACTTTGAATAACTATGGTCAAGGTGAATAAGTTTTTTTTGTTGTTGTTTTGCGAAATACTTACTTGAAAGCAAGCGAAGAGGAAAAAGTAAATGTTTTATTTGATGTTTTACTTGTTATTTATTTTTATCTTGATTTGTTTTCATCATGCATACTGGCTTGCAGATACCACTTTATTTTTAAGCATTTTGAATATTTGACTTCTTTTTTTGTCACTTGGGTGACAAAATCAGTTCTGTTTTGGGAGAGAGAGTTGCAATGTGTTCAATATGAATTGGAAATGCTTTATTTTTTACTGTAGAATTAAACTCAAGTAATTTTTTTATGATCTCTTCTTTTTCAACTAGCTTGATAACTTCCCCTATGAAGGAAAAGTAAATTACACATTATATCCAATAACATTTCCAACTGAGAGTGCAGCGGAATGGAAGAAGCTCTTTAAGCCATGTGCTTCACAACGACTATTCTTGCCAGTAAGTTTAATCTCTAACAGTACAGTACGTAAATCTGTTCAGGAGTTATCAGGCTCTCTTTGTTAATCTTACTTCTTTTCTTTAATGAAAAATTACTAATCCTAAAAGTAACTTCTGTGACAGCCTCCAGAAACACTCTAAATTTAACCATATTCTTCTGTGGTAGTGATATATTAAGAAATAAAATTCCTTTTCATGCTTGCTCCATTGCTCAGTATCTTCAGTGAGTGTCTGACCTTTAGTAGGTCTTACTTCTCAGAGGCAAAAGTTTGTCACACCCCATCTCCTCATTTATTTGGAAAGTTTCATGGCTTGCACAGGTCTGAAAAATGTCAGAAAAATGGAGAAAAGTAGTAGGCTATTGTAGCCAGAGTAGCCTTTTCTTTGCTGATAAAGACTCTTCAGAAATTGTACTTCAGGCTAGATGAGTTGCAGCGGTGGCAGCCATGTCCCCATTACCCTGTGTTGTGTGGTTGCCTTCCACTTCTCCCGTCGTTCAACCAGAGGCCAGGGAAGCAAGGGAGCAACAGGAACTAATGAGGACCTTTTACTGTAATGTTTCACCTGGCCTGCAGCCTGCTCCTGTATTGTGAAAAGAAGCTCAGAAAAACTCTTTAAAATTTTGGTTTTAAACTTCTTTCCCTCACAGTTAATCCTCAAAAATGTGGACTCGCTATTGTATGTTGATACTGACATCCTGTTTTTGAGACCTGTTGATGATATTTGGTCTTTTCTGAGAAAGTTCAACTCCAGTCAAATTGCTGCAATGGCACCAGAACATGAAGAACCCCGTATCGGGTGGTACAATCGCTTTGCTAGACATCCGTTTTATGGAGTCACTGGAATAAATTCTGGAGTCATGTTAATGAATATGACACGTATTAGGAGAAAATATTTCAAGGTATGTATGTTATTTCCATTACATTTTCCGTGGTTTTATGTCTTTTAATTCTAGTCATGTTTGAAATTCATGTCGAACAATAATTTTCAAAGTATTTCTATTTGAAACAAAACTCTAAAAGTAGTTCTGGTTAGACTAGTAGCTATATGTAAATGTATACACACACGTATGTTTAATTCCATTCACTATAAACATGGAACACCCGCTTCTTAAGTCTGTCTGTTTCTTTTTTGAGTTCTGGAAGATGATGCAACTTGATGCAATGTGTTACTGTAAATTATGTTTGTCAGCAGGTATTTTAATGTTTTCACTTCACACTAGAGGTCTCAAAATAATTTATAAATACTGTACAATAAAATTTAAAAATCTGTGTGTATAGTTACGTGACCAGGAGGTGGTGCTAAAACATTTAGTAAGTTACTGTAACTATACTCTTTCTAAATTTTGATCTTTTAAAATGTAACCAGGTGCTTATCAAAATACGTATCTTGTGATTTACTTCATCATAGCCTCTGTAGAGAAATAATTTTATGAAATTACTTCTTAAGTACAGTATGTAGCAACAGAAATAGTCTTTGCTTCACAAATGAGAAGCCTGTCCTATGTGCTTGAAAGATAAGTACAAAAACAATATTGCATGATTATGATGGGAGGAAAAAGTACTTCTGTCTGTATTTTACATCTTAAAACAAGCACTGAAAGAGGTTTGATCACAGAAGAATGATTATGTTGTTGCAGTCAAAAGCTACTTGAAGGGGCACCCATAAGAAGGACAGCTTTCTTTTCAACTTAGGAAAGTTCCTCACTCATCTTAATGTTTTTGTAATATGTTTTTGCTATGGAAGAATAAAGTGTTGAACTGGAGAATGGGTTCCCTTCCCATGAAAATAAATTGTAAAGCTATAATAGTTACAAAATTTAATTTATCCAAGAAAAAAAATTGTGAATATACAATTAGTGAAACCTTGTATTGTCCAGCTTATTATTTCCTTGTCCTCCTGACTGTAGTGTCTAGAGAAAGGGAAATACTGAAAAGCAGGATGCTTGTAAGAGGTAAAAATAGGGGACTAAAAAGTGCATGTATCTTACACCTGTGATAATGCACTTTGGTACTGAGGTATTTTCAAGATGGTGAACTCTGAAATAATGGTGGTCTCTTATTCATGCTGTGAGTTTTGGTTGGGCTTCTCTTTAGTACTTAAGTTGTCAATTTAATGGAAACTATACCTTTGCAGTTAAAAACTTCAGAAGTATACAAATTCTGTAGCATGCTATAAATGTCTTTCAAAGTAACCCTAGTTCTCAGAGGCACAAAAAGTGCCTTGTTTTTAACACCAAAGTCTGTGGTGTGGTGGTTTCGTAAAATTTAAGCCTATGTATGAAAATTTAGGTAGATGAATATTAGGTAGACTCATAAATATTTAGAAGTTCAAAATGGAATAATGCATCTCTCCCCTGGTAGCGCAGGGCTGGAATGTTTTCCAGGTCCTGAGGATATCAGCTCTGTATTCCTGTTGTTCCCAAGCTTTGTTTTTGTTATGCAATGAAATCTATGAGGTTGATGAACCAAAACCAGCCTTATGGTGGATGAACTTCTTTATAATTGCTCTTTATTATGGAGAGGAACATCTATGATTTATAAGATCTCAGTTGTTTAGCCAGTCTGGTATACAACTAAAGACACAAATTTATGCACTTTTGGGGAATCCTGCTGGCAAACTTCAGTCTGCTTATGATGGCCCCCTTTTTCTTTTTTTTCTTCTTCTTTTTTTTTTTTTTTTTTGGTTATGTGGAGACTGCTGAACTCCTTTCTGTGTCGAGGAAGATAGTGTGCTGTAACTGGCACAGAGAACTGAAACAAAGACATCCTGAATTGCCTGGGAAGCATTCATCTTGCTGTTCATTCTCAAATTGTCCAGTATAGATTGTAGTAAGCAGGTCTAATTGAATAATTGCAGGCTAAATGTTCATGCAATTCAGAAACAGGAGCTGAATCTGGAGGTAACTACCAGTTCTGTGCTAGTATGCCAAATATTCAGTATTACGAAAGGGCATTTAAGAGAGGCAGAACCAGAGCAAAGCTTCCCAACAGCATATCAGATGATTCCAAGCTTTTTCTGATGTCTTTAGCTAATAAAAATAGAAAATGCAATTGAATAACTCTTTTCTGTGCCCCACTCCACTTGTTTGAAATGTTAAATATACAGCACTTTCTGCCTTTTGTCATTAGTTGTCATCCTCCTAGGGATGTAAAGTCTTTTCAAGCTTAGATATCTCTTTTCTGGTTCTACCCATATATACTTCAGCCTCTTGTTCTTGCCCATCTTCTGTCTCTTGGACTTCGTGCTTGTCTGGGAATGTGCCTGCATGGACTGTAGTTATTCCTAAAGCATTTCAGAATAGCGATGCATATAAGGAATTATTATCTCCCTCTTGCTTGAGGCATGTGAAGGACACCATGTTTTGTGTAGCAGTTCTTTTCAGCATGCATTTCATCTTGATTCCTTAAGTTTTTATTATTATTATTAAAATCCTTTTCCTTCCCTTCCTGAACCTTTTTTTTCTGCTTTCATTGTCAGGTGCATCTCATGTGGACTCTTAACACAGATTATCTGAAGCACGAAACACAGGTCAATTGTTTGGGTGCCTGGTGCTTTGACATATATTGATTTTTCTGGTTCAGGTGAAGCATTATGAAATGCCCTTTTTGGATACATTTCTTAATTCAGAACCTGATCCTATCATGCTGAAGGCCCTTATAAAGTAATGGATATGCATAAGACTATGAGCATTAATTTTCAGGTTTTTTTATATTACTCGCAAATTAGTGTTTATTCAAGCTTTGAATTCATTCTCCAGCATGACTGACTTAGTGATTCCTCTTTAGACCTTGACTAAGTTTTAACAATTTATGAATTGTGGTGAATCTTACAGACTGCATGGGAGCCTTCAGTTTCCTTTAATTAGTTCAGAAACGTTTACTACTTTCATGGGGAGAAAATGAATTCTAGTGAATTCTGCGTTCTAGAGTTCTGATATGAGCCTTGAAAAGAAGGGAATATTTTTAGGATTCAGTGATTGTGAAGACCAGGAGTTGTATGGCTTCCCTAGTGCCTGACACAGAAGGAAATAAGTCAGGAGAGATGCAGCAGAGACTGGTTGAGTGGTGTGCAGTACTGCCAGCTTGGAAGAGCCCTCAATCAAGCACTTTTGTTGTTCAACATCTGTAGTAGATTTCTACTGGAACAAATGTTCTTGCTCTCTAATGTCATATAATGACAGTTGATGTGTTCTAGTTAACAAAGTTTAAACCAGTTTTAAAGGCCGATAGACAAGGATTTGGTTGAAGGATAGTGGAAGGTAACGATGTAGCTGCAGCATTGTAGAGCTGTGTTCAGTTTTCCAGCCCAGGGGAGTGATTCTCTACAACACGTTTTGGGAAGTGTTTAAGTCCCAGCTGTGCACTCAGGCACTAAACTCCTCAGGCTGCAGCTGCTCTAGACAAAATTTATATTTACCTGTGAAAATTAAACCTGAAATTCTTTGTAGGCATAGGTGACTCCAGAATTCGGTGCTAGCTTTTAGAGAGAGGAATTTTTCTTAACCTGTGTTGTAGTCAGAAATTAGTCTGCTTCCAGACTTTGGGGCATCATACACTAACAGTCTTAGGTTTTGGTAGTCCTAAACACTTCTATAACATGGTAGATCTCTGCATTTTTGCATAACTAGTAGCTAGAGCACTTGTCTAAAAAGTGAGCATTCTTAATCAGGGCTTTTTCTTCAGGCTGATGGACTTGAATCTTCTTCCATTTTGGCATCTCCAGGCTGGCATGCATGAGCATGTTCAGCATCTGTCTTCTGTTGTCATAATGATTTGTAAGAGTCAGGAGGAACCAAAAGATGAATAAATAAAATGGACAACTTGACCATGGCTGTAATGCCCCTCTGGGTCATGTGAAACCTGTAGTTCTGCAGATCCCTCTGGGATTGAGTTTGTTTTTATTCAGTTATTTATTCAAAACTCAGTGTTCTCAGGCCTGTCCGATCTCTTAGGCAAACTTCTGAACCGTTTGGCTGTGGTGCCCCGGAGAAGCTGTTCCTCTTTGTCCTGTTCTCTTGCTATCTTGGTCCTACTATTTTGTCTGTCTTCTATATGTTTTATGAGAGTGTGAGGGTGTGTATACACATGTGCATGTGTGTATACACGTATAAGTGTATATATAAAAATAATAGTAGAGAGTGTGTGTGTTATTCATTGCCTAGTTGAAGATAAGAGTAGAATTGGTAAAGAAGCTTCTGATGGACAGTGTCTGTCCATATTCTAGTTTGAGCAATTATTACTTAGTTAGAAAATTGGAATGTAAAATACAGCAGAATGTTTAGTAGGTAGAAAAATTAAACACTTTTTTTATTGCATATAGTATATAGTTGGTTTTAAACTGGAAGAGGCAAAGCAGATACCACAGAGATGGTGATTTAAACAAAATGCTGTAGAGCGGTGAGGCTGAACAGGGAACAAATACTTCTAGCAAAATTCACAAAGATATTTAAGTGTTGCTGTATTTGGTGTTGCAAGGCTTGAGGCTGTGGACAAACTGTGGAAAGGACTGAACTCCGAGGAAGGAAGGAAAACCCCAAACAACTCCAAATAGAGGGCAAAGGAGAGGCTCATGGGTACGATTGTTTATTTAACAGAAAAGACCCAAATTCAGGGAGCTTAGAAGACCATTATGTGTAATTTCTGTGGCTGTTGAAGATTGCTAAAGGTTCTACTTCCAAGGAATGTGGTGAGCCTGCAAGAGCAAATTCTTCTAAAAGGGAGTCCTGTCCTTTGCCTGCTACTTTCCCCACCTTATGCTCTTTAAGTTATTGTCACCCCTGGTGTTGGATCCTTCCATGATCCAATTAGGTTTGACAGCAGAAGAGAAAGAAGCTTTCTGCTGAGTTAGTGAGGTAATCGACTCACAAAGAAATCTGTTAATGCAAGAACAAGATTGCATCAGGTAACCAGAAGGAAGGGAAGGCAGCTTTCTCATTTGGTCTTAAGGAAGTTTAAAAGTGGCTCAGTCATCTGTGGAACTACAACTGCAGTTTCTTTTGATATTGTTGTAAGATTTATTTGGATGTTTTCCCTCCAGGCTCTATTTTCTTGCAAGAATTAAGAGGAATGTAGTACTAGGTGTTTCACTTAAAACATGACAGCTGTGCTAGGCCTGACCTCAGGCTTGGCAAGGCAGAAGTCCTCTGGGACAGAAATAAGTACTTAGTAATTAAAGCAAAACATTATAATAAAACTGAAGTAATCAAGCAAATATCTTCGTTTCTTTATGCATATTATGTTCTTACTTAAGGTTCCTTCCATTTGAAGAACACGGGCATTTGAGGGTTTGTGCAGCCTGCCTGTCCCAGCTTAATCACACAAAAATGCTCACCACTGTGGTTTTTTCTCAAAGGCCTTCAACTTTCTCTCTAATTTGTTAGGTATTGGAGATCAGTTTTATCTTCTGGAAACACTGAAATTATTATGTAGCTGTCAGTCTTTCATTTTTACTTGAGTAACATTTGAAGACCTTTTGTGTCATCAGTACTGACTGAATTCAGGCATTGTGCACATTCTGTTTAACTCACTGTGTTAGATAGAGTCTTGCACAGGAAGTTATATAACAATATGAATAATTTCCTTTGCTTGAAGTGATTCCTGCACTGGTTTTATTATACATCAATGTTAATAAATAGATATATTACTCTTATGCAGAGGTTATTGAAATATTAGAATTTCTAATTCTTAAATCTCATAGCACTATTTGTCAAGCAGTATTGCTTCTAGACAACTGGTAATGTGATTGCATGCTGCTATCCATTTTATATCTCTCTGGAATATACTCTGCGTTTTACTGCTATTAAAACTGCATGGGTTAAATGAAAATTATGTGAATTGATGGCTCCAACAATTTAGAATAATATCTTTATGGGTTACTCTGAAGATCTTATTTTACTACTTTATACTCTCTTATGATTATGTGGTAGCGAAGTGCTAATTTAATTTGTTTTGTAAATTGAAGTACTGGGTCTGATCTTAAATCTGAGGTCAGTGTTCTGTAGGCCCAAATTCTGGTGAGCTTGGAATCTTTATACATTGTGCTGCAGTCTGATTTGCTTGCTGAGAGGTTTGAGCTTGGTGTTAAGGCCATGTTTTCTTTTGCTTCATCACCTTGCACTGAGTCTAATGATGGCTCGTGCTGGAGAGGAATTCTCTCGTGCATTTCTCAAACCTGCTCTCAACAAATACTTGCAAACAATCACAGTCATAAATTTTTAAGGGCAGAAGGGACTGTAATAACATTCAGTTTGGCTTCTTAGGTAACATAAGCTATAGATCTTATTTTGTATTAGTTCCTGCCTGAAGTCTGATAGTATTTCTTTTTAAGTCTTTGTTTCTGAAAGCCCTTCATACTTGATGGCTGAAATGATTTGAAGAAAGTCTTAAAAACTTGGAAAGTTGATATTAAGATTCTAAAACTGAATGTGGTACCTCAGGTAATACATTTTGTTTCTTAAAATGCCATTTCTGTAGACACATCCCAAAATGTACTGGAGTTCTATTTTTTTTGGTTTGTTTGCTTTGTTTTTGTTTCTTTTTTCTTTTCTTTTCTTTTTTTTTTGGGGAGGGGGGCGCAGTATTTCACCAACTTGGTTTAAAAGAATCAAGAGTTGTTTCTACTCTTGCAGGAACTTTCTTCACGAGGGCACGTTATTCCATCCTCATTCTCCCAGCCGAAATAGAGGTTTTTGAGTGAGCAGCTTCATTCCTTTTCTGTGTTAGCTGAGCATAATTGTGGTGGAAAGACTGGCAGTTGCAGTACGAGCAGAGCATGCAGCCTGATAGAGCGCAGATGGTAGCACATCTGTGGTAAGGACGAGCTCAGTGCAGGCCCACTTAGCTCTGAGAAACACCCCTCAGCCAACGCGTAGAAGCCAACTTCCTGTTCCCATAAAGTCTGAAGGACACGGCTGTGACTTTATCCAAAACAGGAATTTGAGAAATAAGAAACAATTATGTTAGTCTTAACTACCCTTTGCTAGTGAAAAACTGTGCCTTTGTTGCAGGAGGCAAGGTTGAGTGACTTAAAAATTAGTTTGACTTAATGAAAATATTTCAAAACCTTTTCAGAATTCTCTGTTGTTATACATTTCTTTGTAGTTAATCTTTTATAGCTCTATGTGTTGGGAGCTGTTTAATAATTAATTTTATATTATTCTGTTTTGAATGTTTAAAGTTCGCCTTCAAACCTGTGATGCAAAATCATGTGCACTCTCAGCCTCTGATAAATAGAGAGAAAATGCATGAAATGTGAAATCTGAAGAGTGGTGTTTTAATGGTGCCCAACTAACTGAACTGATTTTTTTTTCTTCTTTTTTAAACAGCAGTGGAATGTAGCACAAGCTTGCTATTTTTTAGAATTCTGGTTTTTTAATGTTTTTGAGATGAATCTTGAAGACAAAAGTATTTGGCAGTTAAGAGCTATTTATGATTTTGCTTAGCCTAAGATAATATTTAAATGATAAATGAAGGATAAATTTTTATTAGATGTGATCATCTCCTTAAAACAAATAAATTCTTACAAAATCTGGAGATTTCTAGTTTAGAAAAGCAAATTGCTGTGATTCTGTAGAGCTTCACCTTATAATTATCATGAATGTATGTCTGTTTTTCTTTTTCTTTTTTTTTTTTTTTTTTTATTATTATTAGAATGATATGACAACAGTCCGGTTACAGTGGGGAGAAATTCTTATGCCACTGCTAAAGAAGTACAAGTTAAACATAACTTGGGGCGATCAGGATCTATTGAACATTATGTTTTTTCACAATCCAGGTAAATTCACATTGATTCCAAGTCTAACGTGACAAAACCAATCTTTTGTATGATGTTCTTAAATGCAGAAAAATACTCTTTTCAACAGATTTTTTGGTGAAAGTATTTGAGACTTTTTCCTCCTTTTTTTTCAAAAGAGCATGGTTTACTGTGATTTTTTGATGGACGCCAGTTACTAAGTGTAATTAGTTGTCAGGTTTCATATATTTACATGCAGTTGTTTTGAAGTAGTGATTTTTTGGTTTTTTGTTTTTGTTATTTTTAAGAGAGATTTTTTTTGGAGAGAGAGAGATTTTTTTTGGAGAGAGAGAGATTTTTTTTTGGAGAGAGAGAGATTTTTTTTGGAGAGAGAGAGATTTTTTTTTGGAGAGAGAGAGAATTTTTTTGGAGAGAGAGAGAGAATGTTTTTGGAGAGAGAGAGAGAGAATGTTTTTGGAGAGAGAGAGAGAGAATGTTTTTGGGGAGAGAGAGAGAGAATGTTTTTGGGGAGAGAGAGAGAGAATGTTTTGGGGGAGAGAGAGAGAGAATGTTTTGGGGGAGAGAGAGAGAGTATGAAATGCAGAAAAATACTCTTTTCAACAGATTTTTTGGTGAAAGTATTCGAGACTTTTTCCTCCTTTTTTTCAAAAGAGCATGGTTTACTGTGATTTTTGATGGACACCAGTTACTAAGTGTAATTAGTTGTCAGGTTTCATATATTTACATGCAGTTGTTTTGAAGTAGTGATTTTTTGGTTTTTTGTTTTTGTTATTTTGAGAGAGAGAATTTTTTGGGGGGAGAGAGAGAATTTTTTGGGGGGAGAGAGAATGCCTTTCTTGAAACAATTTTGATATTTAATTCAGATTTCTTATGATTTTCTGAACAGAAAGCCTATATGTCTTTCCTTGCCAATGGAACTATCGACCTGACCACTGCATTTATGGAAGCAATTGTAAGGAAGCTGAAGAAGAAGGTATATTTATTCTTCATGGAAACAGAGGTGTTTACCATGATGATAAACAACCAACTTTTAGGGCTGTGTATGAAGCAATAAAAAATGTAAGTGTGTTCCCTGTACAAAGTTACTTGTGTTTTTATCTACACTGGTTTTGTATCATACTCATACTGATTTCCTCATACTCATTTTGATTGCAGTAGTGTAATGTTTTTTACCCCACTCCTTTACTTGTATTAGATACACTTATAGTTTATTAGCATGTGGAAATCAGCATCCAAAACTTCCTTTCGCTGGAGATTTTAAAATGCAGAAAGAAACCTTCTTCATCTCACAGATTCCCTGCAACTTTTTATCATTTTATTGTAACTCAATTTGGATGTTAAAAACAATTTTTGATGCTGTGTTTTGATCTCTGTTGGAGTTTCAGTGTATTAATATGTGGCTGCTCCTTTAAATACTAAGCACAATGAATTCTTTTCATTCTGCAAATAAGTCTTCTAATAAACTATTTATCACTACATCAGTGTACTCGCTGAAGAGCTGTAAAATTTAGCACTGATGTGCATTTTAATGTAGCAGGCTATTTGTGTGTATAACCTTCAAAAATCAATAGTATATTTTAATGGTACTTTATTACTTGATGTCATATAGATATAAAAATGAAGAAATGTACTTTTGGGGGTCTGAGAATACATTGCACAGAAAGCGAATGTGTTTCCATAAAAATACAGTTTCTTTGTTTCCTTTGAGCATTGTCAAAAACAGAATAAAATTATTTCTTTTTATTTATGATCCTATTTGGTTTATGAATATGCCAGGGAGAGTGTATAAAACATTGCTGATCCAGTGGTAATAAGATGAACAAAATTACACTACTTCAAAATGCTGTTTTAGACTATAATTTGTTTATGAAAAAAATTGTAATATTGAATTAATGACTTCCTTATTTCATATCCATGTTAAAAGTAGTGTGTATTTGACCATCATTCAGTTTAATGAAACTTCCTGCTTTCAGGACTACTACCTGGTCACAGTGTTGTTTCATTACAATTTGATAAGAATTCTACACTTGAAAAGTTATTTTTTCATTCAGGAAAGCAACAGACCACCAAAAAACATTCTGATCTGTAGATTTTTAATAACTGAATTTTTAATTTCCTCCTTGCCTGTCTGGATATGTTCATTTGCTTATCAAAACTAAAAAGTTTGTTAGGTTTATGGACAGCATTTGAGAGTATTTCAGTAGTGTTGAGGTGGCTTTTAAATACTGTATTCATAAGCTGTCTATGGTGCTTGTAAACATCTAATCTTTAATTTTTTTGTCTTACCCTCTTTACAGTATTCATTTGGAGGTGACTTGGTTCATTCCCTGCTACAGCCCCTAGAATTGGAATTACAGAAAACAACGCATACGTACTGTGGAAGAGTATACAAAGTGTTCATAAAGCAGCTAGCAAAAAGCATAAAAGATTTGTATGATAGAAGATCAAAGGGAAGGTGATTCTTACTCCAGGGTGTTGAAAGAAGGGACTCAATATACCCGCTGTTTGAGAGGTGCAGAAGGTCTAATATGGCTAGAATTAACTCTTACTGTGCCCAGATAAAAGTTTACTAGTGTATATAGAAATGAAGAAAATATTTGTGTTATGAAGAATAAGAACTTTTTTTCCCGCAAAAGTGACTTTTTTACTCTTTTGTAGTTTAATCACTGCTAATGTTTTTCTTGGATCTGATGAGTTTAGATATTGTTGGCTTTTGTGGTCAGTAGTTTTAATCTGCATAATTCGGTTATCTTTAATGGTCAAATGAGAAGGGACGGATGAGGATGGCTGTATTTGGAGAGTACCTCAGATTGCCTAGAATTCTGTTAAACTGTGAATGTAGCAATAATTGAGTCAGCAGCACTAACTTCACTTTAAAAGTGTGAGCACAAAAAATTGTTTACAGGTGCAGAAAGTACTCTTTTCAAAAAAATGGGATAGAACCATTGACAATCTAGATGTGCCTTTGTATGTTCATCTCTTACATGTTGAAAAATGTTTTGACAATCTTATTTTACTTAACGTAAACTGCTCAGTATACATAGAGAAAAGAATAACTAGTATGTGATGAGAGTTTTTCTTGTCTGTAGATACTATGTCTTTGTTAATATACAGCATTTGTTGCAAGATCATTGAGCCATCTGCCTGAATGATATAGCCGAGTTGAGGGTTTTTTAAAAAAAATGCAAAATGAAGTTTTTTTTTTTTTTTTTTTTTTTATGATACTTTTAAAAATATATATATATGTGGTTTGATAGCTTTACAGGGCATTTTTGGAGCTAGAAAAAACACAGTGGAAACCTGTCTCTGTTTTTATTTCACTACTAAGATTTATTATGTAATGACTATTGTGGAATAATCACAATAATTGGAATAAGAGATCTGATAGTTTACCAGACTGTATAATGGATGGGTTTCTTTACAGGTTTATCCTGTATATTTTAATAACATGACTTTAAATTTGTCGTGGACCAGATCTTCAAGTGCATGATTTCATTAATGCCAATAGGGTAATACTCATTTACAACAGACAAGATTTAGACTCCTCTTTTTAGTTATGTAATATAAATTTCAGAGAGAAACATGAAGAAAAAGGCCGAGTTCTAATGTAAGAGTAAAATATTATTTAAACTTGCATGGTGTACTTGTATACTTGAAATTATTTCAGTTTGCTTGTATACAAGTATACTTGAACTGAGGAACTGGGCTTAGATAACCTAACTGAGATGAAGTCTTCATGAAGTGTTCTTTTGGGTTTCAGATTTCTGCATACTGAGCATTGCACATGCTCTCACTGACTTGCACCTTCATCCCAACCCCGTCTTAGAAAATGAATTCTTGTGGCCATTTCTTTGTCAAAAGCTGCCCGTCTGCAATGAATTGTAGATCCATGTGTGCTAGGTGTGTGCTTTAGGAGTATAAAAACACACTGCGTTGTGAAGGGTGCTTGTATTTGTTCCCAGGCCCTGCTGGCTCAGGATGTAATTGTCTGGGATAGAAAATGGAAGACAGTCCATCTTGCCTTTAGTTATGGTTTCTTTTCCTTGTTATGTAATCTTTCTGTGCGTAAGACCTAGAAATCCATGTGAAGGTAAATACTGTTATTGACTGATTTGTAACTTGCAATGCATGATTTCATTATTTTTTTACATAAATACTGATTTTGTATTGGTTTGTCTTGAGCGTGTTTTACTTATACTGTGTTTGCATTTAGAAATTGTTTCCTTCGGCTTTGTTGTTTCTTTTCTTTTTCCTCTCTGCCTATTTATCTTGCAGAAACAAGCAGTTTTAGTTTGAATTTCGGTATTTTGTACACATGCGAAGATCTTGCTTAAAACTTAACAAGCCATTTTAGAAAAGAAAAATGTGAAAGTGGATGTTAGCAGGAGCCTTTGAAGTTTTAAAAACATTTTTTTTCGGCAGACATAGTAAGTAACCAACCAAATAGGACCTGACAAAATATGGAACAAATTATGGTTTTTTCCCTATTTTTACTAACATTTAAATAATTATTATAAATGAGGATTCACAGAAAAACACAGGCTTTTGAAAATGCATATTTTGCTTGAATTAAGATAAATCTGTCTTCATCATGCTTGATTTATCCTGATGCCATTATCCTATCTCTGCTTAAAGGAATCAGTTTGCTGGTAGAAGAGACTTATTTGAAGATGCATTACCTCATTTGTATGAAATTCCAACCTTCCCTGTAGATAGTATGAAAGACCAACTGAGTTTGGAACATCTTGATATGTGGACCTTGCAGTTATGGTTATATATAAGGCTGTTTAATTGTTATGAAAGTGTTTTTATGATTATTTGCAGTTTTGACAAAATTTCTTTGGACTGAAGACATCCTTGATGTTTACCTCTGTTGAAAGTCTCTTGATAATTGTTCAATTTGAATTCAAAAAGATTCAGAAAAGAGGTTTATTTTTCCTTTTCTACTTTTGAACAGTTTAAGGCAATATGGAGCTGCTTTTATTGGTTTTAAACTAAATTGGGTAAGCCTCTTTAGTATTATTATTTGTACAGAGATTCTGTCTATAGTAGCTGTGCTCCAACCGCACAGACTTTATGCACTTCAGTCCATGCATTATCCCTATCAGGATGGCTGAGAATAATCAAGTCTTCCTTATCTTCCTCCTCCTAAGTTGCATATCCTCTGTAGACAGTATGGAAAAGGAAAGAACCTGACTGGAGTGTATTAGTAGGAAGGGACTGCTTGGATTGTTTAGAAACAGAATATATACAAGGTAAAAATAAAGGTGTATTAAAATATTCAGATGTTCATTACTGAGATCTCTTATTTTGAGGGTACAGAGGAATAATCCAGAACTGTCTCTGCTATAATTTATTATGTGATGGATGTGATGTGATGGATTAAAATGTGTTGAAAAGAAGGGGTAAAATAACTCTTTCACTTTTTAGCTTATTTATAGGAAAATTAGACTTCTGTGTTCTTTCTCCTGGTTTATAGAGCAGCTATTCATCTCTCAATATATGGTCCTGCTCCTGGTATCTTCAGAAATCTGCATGATGCTGTGATGGATTTTGGTTGTTGGTTTGGTTTAGTTTGTCTTCCTGCACCTCGTTCAAAGCCAGAGGAGCTTTAACTTGGTGCATTCTCTGGGAATGTTAACAGCTTCATTTAGGAACATGGTTTCCTCAGTCATGGCCTCATCCCCAGGCTGTTTTCAGCAGATAATTCTTAATGAGTCCTCAATGTGAGAAAACTATGTAGTAAGTACTTATTGCTGTTGTAAAATTTCCATACCTTAAACTAAATACATGTACGTGTATATAGATATATATTCCTAGGAAAAAAAAATCCATTAGAAACCTGGGAGATGATCAGACTTGAGTCTTCAGTCCTAAAGGCCTGAGCAAGCACCACCTTTGAAGCGGACCTGTTGCACCAGTAACCTCAGTCAGATACCTTCCTTCCCTCTCTGCTATGTGAATACTGTTTTTTCCCCCAGTTAGGTCTGGAGAAAGGGACTAATTTTCTGTGTAGGATGCTAACCAAAGGTTGGTTAATTGATTTCTTTGTCTCTTTGGAGTAAAGCAAAAAATCAGGAATTTGTTTTCATAAGCCACCTCTTGAAACAAACTTGAGAGAGAAGTGCTGCTAGGCTGCTCTTCACTTATTCTAGCATCACTAGCTTCACTTAATCGAGCAAGTTCTTTCTTCACTTATTTCTAGCATCAAGCATTCATTTTTAAAAATGCTTTTGCTTATCCTTAAATTATAATTTAGTAATTAATAGATTAGTAATTTATACTAATAAAATTATTAAGCCAAATGAGATGAACAATGTATTATAGTAGGCTAATGCATTTTGACTGCATTCATATTGTGAGAGGTCACTGACTCATTCTTCCTTCAGGTCATTTAACATCATGTCTCCAATTCATGGAACTGTAAACTGGGTACAACAGATTTTCTTTTATAACTGTGTCTTCTGCATCTTAATATTCTGCCAGTCGTTTATGTATACATTCTGTTAGAGCAATTCACATTAAATCAAATAGGAATATTTATAAGAGTCGTTTTAACTTCTATATACAATTTTGTATTTTATCTGAAATTGCAAATCTTTGCATTTAAATTCACATGTATTAAGGGCATTTTTTTTTAGGCTTCCGACAATATGAAAGCAAATTTTTTTTTTCTTTTTTACCCCTCATTTAAGACTAGGAAATTAATTTTTAATTAAAACTGATGTTTTAACTTGTAATACTAACGTTATGATGCTAACTTACCATAACTCACTGAATGGCTGGTGCCTAGAGACTCTGCTTGCCTCTTAGGTACTGTGAAATTTCCAAAGTGTGATTTAGTTTAGTGTGGTTCCTGACAGGTCTAGGATATTTATACTTTTTCATTTTAAAATGTTCCCTTGTGTTTTAGTGTGTTGTTTTACATTTTTTATGTCATGATTAGTTTCAAAATTGGGATTGCAGATCTAAAACCCAAGAAATAGCAAGCATTTTTGCTATCTGAAGTGTGTGTGCGTGTGTGTGTGTGTGTGTGTTGTATGTAATTTATGCTTACTTTGATCAGGTTTTTTTCTTAAAGGAGGTAACGTTGGTGCTTTTGCTTCACTGCCTGTCACAGCAGTGACACCAATCCTGTTTGCTGCCCTTGCCTCTTCTCCACTGCCCCTCTAGGAAGGCACTCTGCTATCCTTGTGGCCTGTCTCTTCAATGAGTTTGTCCTTCAATCCTTTCATGTTTTGGTGGTTACTGCATCCATTAGCTAACAATCCCTCTGTTAGTATATAAGCACTTCCGGAACTAGGATTTTTAGGTAAAGAAGCTAATTTAGTACCATTCCAAGCCAGAGTGTATCCTGCGGTGGTATGCCACTTTCTCCACGGTGCTAGCGGATAAGCACGCATCTGAGCATAAAAGTGTGTTATTTACCCCGAGTAGCTCCTAAGCTGTGCCATACATGTTTTGGCTGTAGCTTTGGAGGGAAAAAAAATAGTTTTCATTTTAGTTTTGTGTAGACTGCTACAAGATTTGATTATTTTTTGTTTTTCTGCATTGATAAAAGCTTATTATTAGAGCTATGCTTCAGGAAGCAAGCTTGGCCAGTGGAGCATTTGCAATTAAGCAGAGATCATCCAAGCCCTTTTGCTTGCCTGAGGCAGACAGGCTCAACAGGGCTTCAGAGAATAGCATGAGCAAAAGGTAAGTGCCACACAGCCACTTTGCAGTGAGGTGCTTGGTCTTTATTCTGTTCTTACAGGTGCTGGACAACTTCTG